GCACAGTCCTCTCATTGTGTGTGCGTGCGATATAATGTTTGCATTTGTGACTTGGAACACCTGTGTGGCCGTTATTCACTTCAGCAGACGTTCATGAGTAGACATAGATTCAGAGATTAAAGGGAAAATCCACCTTTAATTGACTGTCACATATTGTGCCTATATTATTAAGACTAACAGCTCATAGATAGAGTGTAGCAGTGATGTCACCCATCCATAACAGCGTCATGGGCATCATGAGAAAATATGATCTTCATAATGTCCTCTGTATTTTTTCTCTCTCAAGGAGTCAGGTTGGTTAACAATTATAAAGACACACTTTCAGATTTAATATATTTGAATTTTACTACTTTAGGCTCACATAAAGACATAAAGGAGTATTTAACATTTACCCACCAGAGTTTGCAAAGAGAGGACTTTGAAACAGGCTTTGGGAAATAAATTTACAGAAAATGTAATTGAACAGTTGACCGAATAAATAAAATATGACAAATAATTTAGAGGAGCAAAATTAACTTAGACAAGTAATGGAAAAACTTCATATTTTAACACCCCATTTAGTATTTAAAGGAAGTATATAAACATACACAGTATATAAGGATCAGGTTATTGCCAGGTAGGTTTTCATGTATAGGAATTTGCCTTGGGGTTTTGGTGCATAATAATAAAAAACACATTTAGAGAAAATAAAATAAAAATTGAGTGAAAATAAAAATAAAAGTAAAAAATAAAAATAAAATGAAATAAAAAAATGAAAATGAAAAAAAATAAAATAAATAAAAAATAGAAGTACTGCAAAGCCAAAAAGCATAAATATAGAATAGAAAAAAATATATAATTAAAAAAATGATAAAACAGTACTGAAAAGAATATGTACAGTGGGCTATATCTGTTTTTAAAATGAGAAAGCTGTACTGTTTTGTCCAGGGAATCTCCAAATGTTCACAGTATGAAGAATAAAGAATATGCACAGAGATAAAATTTCCAAAATTTCCAATATTTGTATAAACATATACACCAGTTTATTAGGTACACCTTTCTAGAAATAACACAGTCTAATGCAACAGCCCTGCAATAAACCACTTTCATGATGGATATAATATAGCCTTTGTTTGTTAGTGTATTGAAATTGCTGTTGGTTGAACTGTATGGTCATTTTGGAGGATGTTTGTGATGTTGTTGAACTGTGTTGCATTATTTTGTTATTTAGCCTACACTCATAACTATAAATGGGGTGGACAAAATAATAGAAACACCTGTTCAACAAACCACAACCTCCAAAGAGATCATATATTTGAATCAACATCTCTGTGGAACAGTTTCAACAAAGCCGGGATAATATGACCAGAGGGAAGGATTTATCACAGTTCTGTTGTATAATCCATTCAGATCCTCCGTCCATTCCAACAGACATATCTGGGATGTGTAGATGTATGATTACTGTCCTCTGACTCCACCCAAGTGCACAGATTTATTTGATGGGATGTGTATAAACCAATCACAGTGTTCACATCATGTAAAGTGGACTACAGTAGAGCCACACCCCTATTTTAACAAGCATAGAGGGACTGTCAGTCTATTACTTATACGTGTCAAAAAATCATATGAAGGATTTATTCTCAGGATTAAAAAAATCAGCATATCTGAGTGTCACTGGAAAATTTAAATTTGATTTTCTAATGAAAAAATCAGCCTATAATGCATTTTATTGATTATGAACACACAATATTCATCTCAGGAGGTTTTCAACATACTGTTTTCTGGAGATATTCCGGAAACTGAGGATATTTTGACTTGTGATGATGAACACAATGTAAAATATATTTGCAATGTGTTTTAAAGCATCATTTTATTCATATAAAATATATGATATGCATTACCCATTCATGAAAAATAAAATAATCTCATGATTTTTGTTCACAAAAAGGTCTATTAAGACCATGTATTGTAATTTTTTTTTTCTGTGTTAAGAATCTTTATCAATTGGAATGGGAAAAAACCCCAACACATTTAAGTATCCTAATAAAACGTGTTATTTATGAGCACATTTAGAGTAGAAATCCATCATTACATTTTTTTCTGTGTGTTTGGAACATATTGGGTTCTTAACTGGATAAAACTGTGTTAGTTTTAGCTTTAGTTTGGTGTATTTAACATACTGTATGCATATTTCAATTGTTTAAAACGTATTATACTGTAGCTGTGAGCTGATACGAGGACATTGTAAACCATGCAATATTATTTGGCCACTTGGGGGCAGTGTGAACACGCAGTAAACACTATGTTGACCTATTACGTTGACATGGCTAACTCGTTAGCAAACAGTTAATAGTTGACACATTCTGTGGTGATGGAGCAACATTATCATTTTTGGAGTCGTGTTTCTGGACAACAGATGAATGTAAGTTCAGTATTTACTCTATTTTAAGTCTTGTTTCCTCTCCACCAACTGCTGAGGGACATGGGCGGTATGTCTCTTTAACTGCTAGCTTAAATGCTATATAACAGATTAACACTTTAAAAAAGTTTATTGATTCCTGGGTGAAGCTACCCAGCAGATTAAGTATACCAACTATTTAAAATTAAGTAGTTCAACATTGAAATGATGTAGATACTCACAAAAGCATCAATAAACATAAGTCAGTATATCTTTTTGAATTGACATTTCTGCAGGCTTTTTTGGTATTATAAGTATGCTGATACTTTTGTACTTTTACTAGTAGACATTTTAATGCACGACTTATTGTAGCAAAGAATTTATGCACTTAATATACTTTAACTTATGTTAATGGCCCAAACACTTCTTCCACCTCTACCTCTATCACATTAGACATAGTCTAAAAAAAGTTATTATAGCCACTTAATTATTGTTTATTAATGTATTTTTCATTACAACCAGTTATAGATGCTTCATGGATGAAGCATCTATAACTGGTGTATATACATATAATAAATAATAAGCAGTGCAGTTGACACAATTGTAATGAGACTTCAATCTCTATGACCAGTGAGTTAACTCCATCTGCTGATGAAGGCCACAAGATGCGGCTAAGAGCCCCAGAACAAATCTAGTAAGTGCACTGTTTTTGGTCAGAGTCTTGCCTGTGAGCCTGCCATTTGTACATGTGTGGAAATAAATGATTTACAACACTTTGCTTGCTCATGCAGGTAATCATATTAATAAATGTGATTACAGCTAGTTTTATGTTATAAAGCATCCATTTAAGTATTTACAGTAGTTACAGATGATTCATAAGAGATGACAAATACATGAGTCACCACTTATGATTTCCTTTTATCTGAGTACAACTACACGAGAGTATGTTGTGAAGTTAACTATTCTTTAAGTGCTTATATAGGCGTACAGTTTATAAATGTTAATATAAAGTGTTACCACTGAAACATTTTAGAGATTTGTGGGCCTAGATTTTGTGAGTGTTTGAGTCTTGATGTCAGTATTTCTAAAAATCCTGTCTGCAGCCCTGTGGGACTTTTTTCTGACTCACATTCACATAAAACTCATTTAAAAGGAACATCTCAACAAAAACTCCCTGAGTCCATGAGTCAATCACTCAGACAGTGTTGACTTGAAAGTACTGGTGGATGAATTGATTAGTTGATTGGCAGAAATGATGGATATATAACTGAGCTTCTCACACTGTACCACCCAAACAGGCCCCTCAGGTCTGCTAATCTGGGTCCTCTAACCGTTCCAGAGTCCAGGTCAAAGACAAAGGGTGATCAAGCCTTTTCAGTTCTTGCCCTTCGGCTTTGAAACAGCCTCTCACTGAGCATCAGATCAGCTGACTCTGTTCATGTCTTTAAATCTCGTATGAAAACTTACTTTAAGAGATTGTCCTTTCCTGACAGTTGGTAGACTTATTGTGTGTATGGGAGTGTGTGTATGTATGCAGCTGTGTGTATATATGTGAATGATTTTTTCCACACATGAACTACTGTCTGACCAGTTGGACTCACACAGGCAGAACTACACTAAAACCAGTAGAAAGACTGAAACATTGGATAAACAGTCACAAACATATCATCATTGTAAAGTTTTAACTAAATATGATTTTTTAAATTGGGAACATATGCTCAAATTGTATATAAAATTCTCCATGGCTCCATTGTGTTTTTATCTGTGTTTTTATCTGTGCTCATGTCTTTCTGTGCTTTTGTATGTTATTTTGTCTTTTTCTTAAATATATTTACACCAGGGGTGTCCAGACTTTTTTGAATGGGGGCCAGATAAAACAACGTGAAAATACCTGGGGGCCAACTGATTCTTGCATCAAATGGGTTTAAAAAAAAAAAAAGTGAGACCATGCAACCATTTTTAACTTCAATGAACTATTACTACTTGATGCCTGTCTACAAACTGTATGATAGTCCTATTATTGTGAGGTGAAGGGTAAAAATGCAAAGTGATCTTGCTCAATTAACCATTATTGTGGAAAAAGCCACATTTGGTATATTTTGAAAGTCAAGCCGAGGGCTGATTAAAATTGGTCTGTGGGCCACAATTGGCCTGACTTACACCATCAACCTACCAGGGACTGCAACTGAAAATTAACCTGTGTGGCTAAATCTGGCAAATTTACGTGATGTAAGTGATCATGTTGATTAATGTGCACTGTCCCTTTCTGAAAAAATAAGCATAAACGTGTTTTATTAGTATCACTTTTGTATTTTTATCTTCTTGGAAAGTACTTCCTGCTTTCAGCTCCTAAAGTGCTCTACAAATAAAGTTATTATTATTACTTTTTTGTCATGGCCTATACAACAGTGAACTGAATAGGATTGTTTGGACACAATAAGCAATTTGAATATGGAGGATATTGGATTAAAATATAAATTAATCAGCAGGTTAATCGATGACAGTTTTCTGACCTTATTGTCTAACATCCAGAAATATTAGACAAAAATGTTAGATGTATTTTTGAATGAATTTTCCCTTTAAAGTCTCCCCTTGAATCATCAAAGAGCATCACTCCACAGTCACAGTCTACGGAATTGGGAAAAAAAAACACGCGCGCATGTTGCCTCTCTGTGCGCATAATGATTCATCAACCACCGTTTGCTCACGAGACAGTGATTTCGGGTCCGACTAGTTCATTTTACAGAGCTGAGTGTTTTGTCGTGGGCCCTCGGATGCCCCCACCCCCACCTCTCTCATCCCGCGTCTCGACGGACCAAACGCTGCTGCTGCAGCATCACCGGCAGCCTCCAAACTGCGTTTTCCCTGCCGTGATGGATCCCTCTGTAAACCGGTGAGCTGCTACCAGAAGACCGGCTCAACTGTGGGCAACAACCGACGAGCAATAACCGCGGCGAGAATGTGCCATATATCCAAGGGATAAAAAAGAAAGATATATATTTCTAGCAATGTTATAGGAGCGTCTTGTTTACCTTCCCGACAGATAAACAGCCGGGTGACAGTGATATTACGGCCGACATGTAAGAGCTGGATAACTATTCCCGTGTGACCGACACCCATCTGCAGCTGCTCACAATAAAATGAAAAAGGTAAGCTTGTTGACACGTTCAGGATTTACATCGGGCGTTGCGGGGTTTCAGTCAAAAAACCTGACGGCTCGATCGGAGCTCATCATCAGGCTGCATTGTTGCATCGTCAGTCCCCCCCTCTTGAGTTAAAATTGACGATTTGCCTGTTTTTAAATAGGTCGCTCTTCACCTGTCGACTCATGAGTGTGCCTGTAGCTGCAAGATGCCGCTGTATGACTTGTGAAATGTCACGTCAACAGCCTGGTTTTTACCCATGATTTTGACTCTGGACTTGAGCTGCCTCCAGACAGCCAAAGTCAGTTTACTGAGGCAAGTGGAATAGGCTATATGTAAATCTCCAGTGATAATATGTATGTGTCTAATCTGTGTTTGACAAAGTTATGAAATCCTTGCTTTCATGATTTCTTCAGGGGGAAAACAGCGAGTGTATTTAGAGTTGTGAAGGGGGGAGAAACACGTCTCTTTTGAGAACAATTAGGCACATCTCTGTTAGCTTTTAACTCGGTGCAGATTTTGAATTAATCAGCACTAAATTATCATTACTCGTACTTGGTTGCATGGCTTTTTTCCTCTGGCTTTTGATGAGTACAAAATCAAAACCACAGCAGCATACTCTTAACTGCACATCTTCCCTTTGAAGTTTCATCACTCTTGCTGCTTGAATCATTAGAAAACGTTAGTGTCTTTGGTATCTTAAATGTAAGTAATATGTGAGAAACATGTTTTAGGCCCCCCTGTGTGGATGCTCTCTTCCGATGCCGAGGATGAGGCTGCATCTGGGGGGGGGGGTTGATCGATAGCCAGTTTGTATCGAGGCCTGTGTTTCAGTTGTTGTCGAACAGGAGTCCCTACAATTAAAAGCCCATTTTGTTAGTGGAAGGCTGATTAATAATTCATCCGCAGCTCAATGGAACCACAAATGTGTGGATGGCACACTGAAGGATGTCAGTGTAGCAGTGTACAAGCCTCTGCTGCCGGCAGAGGAGTGCTCGGGCAGCCTGATGGGTTTACTCATCACAATAGAAAGCTGAATGGTAAATACCCCCCTTTTTTCCTGTTTTCCGAACCTGTTCACGCTTTTAACTGTGTGCTGGATTGTTTGCTCTGGTGATAAACAGCTGGAGAATACAGGCACACAAACTCAGCACACAGTGCTGGAAAAGCTCTGGTTATCCTGTATATAAAACAGCTCTGTTGGTGGTGGACTGTAGGCTCTCACTAAGGTGTCAATGTCGTATCTGCTGCCAAGGAGCCAACAGCCATGATGATACTGTACCAGAGAGTTTGAAGAAAGCCCAGCTGGCTCTGATCCAGGATGGTGGGTGTTTTTTTTTAAAACTGGCTTAGTCAGGACTACTGCAGGGAGTGATTAGACAAGATGCTGTACTGTATCACACACACCAGTATGACGTCAAAGGGCACTGAGCTTTAAAAGTCCTTCATACCGACACCCTGTGGAGTCCTGCAATAACTTGAGGACTGCGCAAACAGTCATACTGAATATAAAGTTGACATATAGATTACTGTCATGCAAATTGTCTGCATGGACATTTGAAAAACCTCTGAAGAGGTTGTGTTGGTGGATTGTGTCTTCGGAAAGCTCGTCATAGTTTCGAATAACCAGTGGAGGAAGTTCACTTGCTGAAGTACTGTCCTTGAGTACAGTTCTGAGATACTTATATGTCACTTAAACTTTAAATAGACCGTATATTTTTGCTTTAAGGTGTTATTATGAAGTGTTGATTGCACAATGTATTGGCTATAGAGTAATGACACTATGATATGGAGCTACATTAGGGTCAAATGTTTTGTACTTGAAAAAATAAAATTTGAAACTGAAAATTCATGTGTTGATCTTGAATTTTGAAAAATACAACAATGTATTCAAAATAAAAATAAGTGTATGAAACGTTTTTTTCAGGTTAAATATAATTTTGATTCACTTTGGTAATTCTTTTGAATGAATAATTTATTTTCACTTTTCACTTTCATATATATTTTAACATTTGGGGTCTTATTTTTTTCAGTTGCATGTTTTATCTTTTCAGATTCAGATCTTATTTTTTACAGTTTCAAATCTTATTTTTTCACTTTCAAATCTTTTTTTTGGGGTTTCAGACTTTTGACCCTGATGTGGCGTGGGGGGCGTGGCATCAACTGAGAGGGGTGTGGAATCATGAGTGACAGTGCCTTCAGGGAACGTAGGAACTAAAAAAATTCTGACTCAACACTTATATACAGCATATTCATGTGACTGGCAGTGTAAAAATTGATGCCAGTGACAAACTTCCATTTAGAAATCTGTTTTAGACAGTACTGAGCACCAATTGCGGTATAAGAGTGATAAATTATGTCAGATTTTGCAGTTCAACAGCCACATTTTAAGTGCTGATATGTCCGATTTCCACATAGCACTGTGAACGCAGCGTAGTGTCCGTTTTGCTTGCGATGATGGCGTCCGGTCGGTGGGGTCAATCTGCTGTACTGGAGCCCATACATCCAGCACACAGGTGAGAAATGTTAACTAAGTTTTGGGAAAACATAACAAACATTAAGGGGTCGTTTTTGTGACAACATACTTTTTTTGTGACGTCTTTTAAGCGGCGAATTTGTCAGAGCTGCAAAGTGTGATTGTCCACAGCTCCATCATCACGGCCCTATTGATGCTTCCTCGCCCGGTAAACGTGTCCCCCTGGTGAGTAGGGAGGTGTTTTAGGATTGTTTCCTTTTCCCCAAGTGCAAAGGTTTCATCCAGGGGACACGTCTGGATGTGGAAGCATCAACAGGGCCGTGATGATGGAGCTGTGACAAAGTATGTTGTCACAAAAACGACCCCTTAATACTTGTTATGATTTCCCAAAACTTAGTTAACATTTCTCACCTGTGTGCTGGATGTTTGGGCTCCAGCAGATTGACCCGACCGACTGGATGCCATCATCGCAAGCAAAAAGGACACTACGCTGCGTTCACAGTGCTATGTGGAAATCGGACATATCAGCACTTAAAATGTGGCTGTTGATCTGCAAAATCTGGCATAATTTATCGCTCTTATACCGCAATTGGTGCTCAGTACTGTCTAAAACAGATTTCTAAATGGAAGTTTGTCACTGGCATCAATTTTTACACTGCCAGTCACATGAATATGGTGTATGTAAGTGTTGAGTCAGAATTTTTTTAGTTCCTACGTTCCCTGAAGGCACTGTCACTCATGATTCCACACCCCTCTCAGTTGATGCCATGCCCCCCACGCCACATCAGGGTCAAAAGTCTGAAACTCAAAAAACAGATTTGAAACTGAAAAAAGAAAGATCTGAAAGTGAAAAAAAGATTTGAAAGTGAAAAAAATAAGATCTGAATCTGAAAAGATAAAACATGCAACTGAAAAAAATAAGACCCCAAATGTTAAAATATATATGGAAGTGAAAAGTGAAAATAAATTATTCATTCAAAAGAATTACCAAAGTGAATCAAAATTATATTTAACCTGAAAAAAACGTTTCATATACTTATTTTTATTTTGAATACATTGTTGTATTTTTCAAAATTCAAGATCAACACATGAATTTTCAGTTTCAAATTTTATTTTTTCAAGTACAAAACATTTGACCCTAATGTAGCTCCATACTATTAGCATTGAGAGTGGTTCCCTGTAAGCCTCGCTTTCACTATTTAATTCTGTCGGCCACTGGGTATGATCTCCTGCAAAATGAAGTCTGACTGGTGATCCAGTCAGGCTGACAGTCTTTTGCTGGTTCTACCTGCTTTCATGTCTCCATTATAGACTAAATTAATGAATTAACTTGTGCTTTTGTCCTGCGTTGTTGGTAGATGAGACTCTGAGGAAAACCAAAAGCAATTCGGTTGTTTTTGCCAACGATAATACCACTTGGAAACACTAGAGGGGAGATTATCTTGTCCATTTTAAAAGCTTTAATTTTATGTTACTTTGTACTTCAATTCCACTACATTTCAGAGGGAAATATTTTAGGCCAGTGGTTCCCAACTGGTGAGTTGCAGTCCAAAGGTGGGTCGTAGATCCATTCTGAATGGACTGCAAGTGACTGTGAAACACGTGAAGTTTATTAAAAACACAATTTTTTTTTAAGTACAGTGAATTTATGGCTCTGAGCTTTTATTTTAAAGTGCTGTTTCCTGCTGTAGAGTGGGTGACAATTGGACAGCTACTTAACAGAGACAGCAAACTCGCTAGAGAACATGGCCAAACGCAAGTATAATGCTGAATGTATTAAACTGTGTGGACCTTGAACTGATGACTAAAGAGAAATGTGGACCCTGTGGCCGGACCAGTTGGAAACCACTATGTTAGGCCTATGTGTTACTGCAACACATTGATTCAGTCGTTCACTTAAGTAAAAGCAGTGGTATCACAGTGTCGAAATACTCCAGCAGCCAAAAGGTTATGCAAGTAAAAGTATAAAAAGTATTAGCATCAAAATATACTTAAACTAACAAAAGTAAAAGTACTGATTATGGAGAATGGTTCATTTCATAATAATGTAGATTATATTGTGGGATTATAATTATTGATGCAGTGATGTGTTCATTACTTAAATTTTGCAGCCAGTAAAGTTTAGGCTATTTTAACTACTTTATATTCTGCTTTTTTAATTTATAATTGTAAGTAACAGAGCTGAAACAATGTCTGTGTAAAATGGGGAAGCTGTAACATTAGATGCCCGGTATTGTAGTGGAGGGTATATGCAAGTATGCGGGATACCCTCCACTTTTTCTGGCTGTTTAAGTTATACCCACCTATCAGCCAAAAAACCATTGCAATATAGTGTGCCCACTTCCTCCTTGGTAACCTTCCCATCTACTCATGATGATGTAATCACACAGCATCAGCTACCATTACATCAGTGGTCATGCTTCTTTTTCTTCTGGAAAGTCGGCATGCTAGCTAAACTCACGCACTGGGGCAGCATTGTGCTAGTGTTTGGTTCCGTGTAAAAAAGCAAACCTGGCGTCATTGCAGATCT